TCCTTAATACCTTTCTTTTTCTCTTACTCCTTGGCTGGCTGGGTGGCTGGGTGGCTGTGTGGCTGTGTGGCTGGGTGGCTGTGTGGCTGGGTGGCTGGGTGGCTGTGTGGCTGGGTGGCTGTGTGGCTGTGTGGCTGTGTGGCTGTGTGGCTGTGTGGCTGTGTGGCTGTGTGGCTGGGTGGCTGTGTGGCTGTGTGGCTGGGTGGCTGTGTGGCTGGGTGGCTGTGTGGCTGTGGAGCTGTGTGGCTGGGTGGCTGTGTGGCTGGGTGGCTGTGTGGCTGGGTGGCTGTGTGGCTGGGTGGCTGTGTGGCTGTGTGGCTGGGTGGCTGTGTGGCTGGGTGGCTGGGTGGCTGGGTGGCTGTGTGGCTGTGTGGCTGTGTGGCTGTGTGGCTGTGTGGCTGTGTGGCTGTGGAGCTGTGTGGCTGTGTGGCTGTGGAGCTGTGTGGCTGTGTGGCTGGGTGGCTGTGTGGCTGGGTGGCTGGGTGGCTGTGTGGCTGGGTGGCTGGGTGGCTGGGTGGCTGTGTGGCTGTGTGGCTGTGTGGCTGTGTGGCTGGGTGGCTGGGTGGCTGGGTGGCTGGGTGGCTGGGTGGCTGGGTGGCTGTGTGGCTGTGGGGCTGTGTGGCTGTGTGGCTGTGGAGCTGTGTGGCTGTGTGGCTGTGTGGCTGTGTGGCTGTGTGGCTGTGTGGCTGTGTGGCTGTGTGGCTGTGGAGCTGTGTGGCTGTGTGGCTGTGTGGCTGTGTGGCTGTGTGGCTGTGTGGCTGTGGAGCTGTGTGGCTGTGTGGCTGTGTGGCTGTGTGGCTGTGTGGCTGTGTGGCTGTGTGGCTGGGTGGCTGTGTGGCTGGGTGGCTGTGTGGCTGGGTGGCTGGCCCCTGGAGTCCTCCTCCTTCTCTGGCTCCGACTTAATCTCCTTTTCCAGATTTCTCCTCCCATATATCCTCCCTGCCTGCCAGCCCCGCCTACTCTTTCTCCTGCTTCACTATTGGCCGTTCAGCTCTTTATTAGACATCAGGTGTTTTACACAGGCACAGTAACACAGCTTCACAGAGTTAAACAAACACAACACAAACAAAAGTCACACACCTTCAAATACTCTACTTCAGGGGGAGGGGAGCACTGACACACTGGGGAGGGGAGCACTTACACACTGGGGAGGGGAACACTGACACACTGGGGGAGGGGAGCACTGACACACTGGGGAGGGGAACACTGACACACGGGGGAGGGGAGCACTGACACACTGGGGAGGGGAACACTGACACACTGGGGAGGGGAGCACTGACACACTGGGGAGGGGAGCACTGACACACTGGGGAGGGGAGCACTTACACACTGTGAGGGGAACACTTACACACTGGGGAGGGGAACACTGACACACTGGGGAGGGGAACACTGACACACTGGGGAGGGGAACACTGACACACTGGGGAGGGGAACACTGACACACTGGGGAGGGGAGCACTGACACACTGGGGAGGAGAACACTGACACACTGTGAGGGGAACACTGACACACTGGGGAGGGGAGCACTTACACACTGTGAGGGGAACACTGACACACTGGGGAGGGGAGCACTTACACACTGGGGAGGGGAACACTTACATACTGGGGAGGGGAGCACTGACACACTGGGGAGGGGAGCACTGACACACTGGGGAGGGGAACACTGACACACTGGGGAGGGGAGCACTGACACACTGGGGAGGGGAACACTGACACACTGGGTAGGGGAACACTGACACACTGGGGAGGGGAACACTTACACACTGGGGAGGGGAACACTGACACACTGGGGAGGGGAACACTTACACACTGGGGAGGGGAACACTGACACACTGGGGAGGGGAACACTGACTCATTGGGGAGGGGAGCACTTACACACTGTGAGGGGAACACTGACTCATTGGGGAGGGGAGCACTTACACACTGGGGAGGGGAGCACTGACACACTGGGGAGGGGAGCACTGACACACTGGGGAGGGGAGCACTGACACACGGGGGAGGGGAGCACTGACACACTGGGGAGTGGAGCACTTACACACTGGGGAGGGGAACACTGACTCATTGGGGAGGGGAGCACTTACACACTGGGGAGGGGAGCACTGACACACTGGGGAGGGGAGCACTGACACACTGGGGAGGGGAGCACTGACACACGGGGGAGGGGAGCACTGACACACTGGGGAGTGGAGCACTTACACACTGGGGAGGGGAACACTGACACACTGGAGAGGGGAGCACTGACACACTGGGGAGGAGAGCACTGACACACTGTGAGGGGAACACTTACACACTGGGGAGGGAGGGGAACACTTACACACTGGGGAGGGGAGCACTGACACACTGGGGGTGGAGTAGAAATGAATGCAGCCTTTATAAGAACCAGCATGGGGCTTCCTGAAAAACTAAACAGAAACTCACATGACCAGATATATGACCCTTGGGTAACCAATGGGCTCTGAGTCAGTGTACCAATGAGGCGCTTGCACATCCATGTTTACTGCTGAACTCATCACAATAACCAAGGTATGGAACCAGGTGGATGTCCATCACCAGGGGAATGAATGAAAAAAACTAGGTACATGCACAATGGAATTTTAATTCGGCTGTAAAGGAAAATGAAATTAGGACATTTGTAGAAAACTTCATGGACCTGAAGATCATCCTGTTAAGAGGGATAAGCCAGGCTCAGAAACGATTACCACAATCTTTCTCTGGTGTGTGGAATATATACATATATATATATATATATATATATATATATATATATATATATACACATACAAATACATGTATGTGTATGAAAGGGGACTTTTGAAGAGAGAAGGATGTCTAAGGGTGGGGAGGAGGAACCAGTGAAGGTAATAGAATGTGTACGTCAGGAAAGCAAATGGAACAATTTGAGGGACAAGGAATGAAAGAGACCAGCTGGGGAGATTGGGGATGGCAATGGGGAATTGAGTGTGATGATATGCTTGGCTATGTGTATAGATATTTATTTTTATGTATAGACACCCTTTCTATTTTCATACATACATAGTATATATAATATATATGAATATATGTGTGTATATGTAAGAATATATCACCATGAAATTCTTTTCTTGTATATCAATCAAAATTTAAAAGACATAAAGCTAAACAAGAATTACCTTAGAAACTGACAAGTGGAAGCAAACTAAATGTTCATGTCAGGAGGATGAATGAATAAAATTATGATGGTAATACCATATCAGATGGTCTCCAGAGCTTGCAAAGGTTCAGGATCAACTTATTTTCAGCTTTACAATTATGTAAAGGCTCACTTCTACAGTTGTTATACTTCCCATATTTAGTATGGTATTGGACCACATGAGACACTTAGCATTCTACTATAGAGCAGGCATTGTATTACAGTCAGGTAGTTTTGCTCAACTGCAACCTTATAAGGTAGCTAGCTCATCAATATTAGCTAGAACATTTGCCAAGTTAGAAGCATTAAGTGCATTTCAATTTATGATATTAAAAACTTGTGATGGTTTAATAAGGATGCAAACGTTTGTTAAACTGGGGAACATCTGTGGTGGAATCAATATAATAATACGGTCCTTTACAGAGAGTCTGGTGTTATAGGCCATTGCATGCATTGACCTTAGAAGGGTATTGTTGAGAAACAAAAGCCAGTCACAGAGGAAGAAAGGCTGTATGCTTCTATTCACAGCTAGCTGTGTGAGATTAAGTGTGTCTGTGTGTTGGATCCAGGGTGGGAGTTCACCTTGAGGGGCAATGTCAGGCAGTGGTGTGAGGGCACTGTAAGATCTGAGTAAACACTTTCTCTTGATCTGGTTGTATTGACCATGCTGAGCTACTACAGATATGATCCAAGTGTGTTCTTACATGCTGCAAGTCTATATTCATTTATATTTGCATATATCCTATATATATATATTGTTTACAGTAAATTTACATATGAAGTGGATGTCTACACTTCCTCACACAACTCTTCTAAGAAGCTGGGCGCTCTGTCAATGGATTTGTCTGAGAGCCATGATGGAGCAGGAGTCTAACAAAGGTTCTAGCTTAAAAGAAACAACCCCAAACCCACAGACTTCTAGCTAGGATCCTTCTTTAAAAACCTTTTTTTTATTACTTTTAATAATGTGCACGATTGTGTGTATGTGGTTATGTGCACATGAGTGCAGGTGTCCAAGGAGGCCAGAGGTCAGACACCCTGGAGCTAGAGTTTCAGACTTAATACCTGTGTAACACTCGGTTGTGAGCTGCCTGTCAAGGGTGCTGGGAATTGAACTCAGGTCCTCTGAAGGAGCAGCAAGTGCTCGGAACCACTGAGCCATCTCTCCAGACCCAGTTCGGGGTGGGGGGGTGTCTTTCTTAAAAGAGGTATCATTTGTTAGTTCTGAGACAGCCCTAGCCCATCTCCTCCTTCTTGACACCGGCTTCACTGGCCAGGATGCCTTGGCAACTGACTAAGCTGTTGTTTCGAAAGATCTCTTGGCGGTAGTGTGGAAAATGGGCTGAGAAGTGGCAGAAGAGGAGAGGCAGTTGGAGTTACCTCTCAAAAATGGCCACCAGAGCAGGCATCGTGTTGGAGGGTTAATTGGACAGAAACATCTTGTTTACTGACAAACTTGATCAAGATAAAAAATGCGTAACTTCTCCTGTGGAGGAAGCCAGCACATGGCCCAGAGAAGTTGAGAAGCAGTTGGTAGAAGAGCCAGCCTTGCTTTGACTTGTGGATGGTTGACATTCTCAGTAGATCTTCATGTGATTGGAGATCTCACTCCTTTCGACCTTTAGGATTCTGCATGCAGAGTAAACTGCTCAATTTTGTAGCTCACAGTAGGTCAATGATGTGTCCATGAAATAGTTTAAAAGAAGACTGATTGTCAATGGGCAAATAGATTTCACACATATTCATTTCCATTTTGAAGACAGGAAGGGGGTGGTTTTCACTGATCAGCGATCCCCACAGAATCCTTCCCCCCCAGCTTCAGGACAGCCCTTCACTGCCCACCCTCCCTCACGAGGCTGTGTCTCTGACCCAGCCGCCACAGGGCGTCCTTCACATCCTTGTTGCGCAGACTGTAGATGAGGGGGTTGAGCATGGGGATGACCAGGGTGTAGAAGATGGAGACCACCTTACCCTGCTCCATGGATGTCACAGCTCCTGGCTGTGCATACATGACGAAAAGAGTCCCATAAAACAAGGACACAGCCGTCAGGTGAGAGCCACAGGTGGAGAAAACCTTGTGCCGCCCGGATCCTGAGTGCATCCTGAGGATGGTCACGGTGATGTAGCCATAGGAGACCAGGACAGCTAACGTGGTGCTCACAATGATGAACCCACAGAGGCCAAAGAGAAGGAGCTCGTTGAGAGCTGTGCTGCCACAGGCCAGCTGGAGCAGTGGGGGCACGTCGCAGTAGAAGTGGTCGATGCGGTTGGAACTGCAGAAGGGCAGCTGGAATGTGAGGCTGGTCTGCACGATGGAGTTCAGGCAGCCCACACAGAAGGTACCCAGAACCAGACGAACACATGCCATGTGGCACATGGTCACAGGGTACCTCAGGGGACTGCAGATGGCCATGAAACGGTCATAGGCCATCACGGCTAAAAGAAAAGTCTCAGTGGTAGCCAGCAAGGAGAAAAAGAAGAGCTGTGTGGCACATCCCTCAAAGCTGATGACTTTGGAAGAGGAAAAGAAGTTGGCCAGGGCATTAGGGGCAATGACAGAGGAGTAGCAGAGGTCGACAAAGGACAGGTTCTTGAGGAAGAAGTACATGGGGGAGTGCAGGCGGGCATCCAGGGTGATGACTACGATCATGGTGAGGTTGCCCAGGACGGTCACTACATATAGGACCAGGAAGACAGCAAAGAGCAGGGCCTGGGTCTCTGCACCTCCCCCAAATCCCACCAGCACAAACACACGCAAGGACACTTCTGAGAGACTTGCATTTCTGTGGACTGGTGTGGCCATGAGTGGGGACAGATGTAGAGAGGATGGCGGTGGAGGCAGCGAGAGGGAGCAAATCTCACCGGTGCCATTGGATGTTCCACAGGCTGCAGGAGCCTGTTGGTGACATGCTGTCCACTGTGCAAAGGTTTACTGGCTGTTCTGATCTCCTACCAGATGAGCTGGAATGGCCTGAAAGAGGGACATTTCCTCTAGTTTACCTAATTTGTGTCAAGCTCTCTCTGTGAATGAGACTGAGCTATGCTCTAGGGATTCAAAGAGGTATCAAGACACCGGTGACCCTCAGGTTACGAACAGCCTTTTAGCATCCCTGTGTTGCGTCTGAGTTGCTCATTCTCCATGGCAGAGGATGCTTCTGAGCAGTGCGTTTGGTACACCCGGCTGCCGAGAACCATCTACACTTTCCACACTCCATCTGACTGATGAAAGAATGTTTAGGAGTGTCTCTTGTCCTTCAAGCCTCATGCTAGCTGACCCTCCCATCTGTCGGCTGAACCCGGAGCAGGGATCAGCCACCCCTACATTGAAGCTGCATGTCTTTGCGGCTTGCAGAATGCTGGCCACACTTCAGTAGCTCTGGCTCCAAGCCTGATCCAGAGTGGCAATCAGTGTGCAGAGACCTTCTGATTGACTGTGAAGGGTTCCTGCTAATGTTTAGATGTTAGAGGTTGTGGGCAGGCCGTAGCCCAGAACCATGTACTGAGAAACGAAGGCTGGGGCCCAGACGTATTTGGGACCTGGTTATGGCTTCCAACCCCATCTCACTGGCAGCTCTTCTCTCTGCTCCACTCAGCTTTGGGGTTTTCTAAGTTTTCACTCTTTGCTATTGGAAACTAGACAAAAGTGGCCTCTGCCCATTGTCCTTGGGCCATGCATGATCATTTTCTCTTATTCCCAGTGATCACAGTACTGACAACACAGGAGTGTCCTATGTGAAGGTGGCTGTCACTTTTCAATTGTTCCCAGAAGGGATGCAAGAGGCTCCATTGTTCTGGGGTGGCTTGGGTGGCTCAGAGATCTGGGCTGGGTGAGCCCCAATAATGCACCTACTCTTTCCCTCCATTGTGTGTGTGTGTGTGTGGCGGGGGAGGGGGTTGGAGGAACCTAGTTGAGACAAACCACGCACTGTTAGCTCAACCATGACTATCCCACTGCTAACTCAAAGGTATAAATGTATTGGCTTTGCATTCACACTCTTAGCAATTCCCACAACCCTCCCACTGCCGGATCACACTTTCCTTCACAGGGAGTGTGAAATGCCGGGAAATGTTAATGTCAAGGCTGTCCCTTTCTCCCTGCTGGAGGAAGGACAAGTATGACCTCTCCAGCTTGCCAAGGATGCAGGGTATCTTCAGTGCCAGTGGAAATCGCAGCTGGCCAAGGGCTGAGGATGCTGCTCCATTGTGAGAGAGCTGACTGCCATTGTCTATGAGGAAACAGCTTCTGTACCCCTTGACCCTACCCCTCTGGAGTCAGCAGCATCACTGCCTCCTGCGGTCTGTTGGATGCAGAGCTTCAGCCTACCTGTCTGCAGAACTAAATAAAGGGAGAGGTCCCCCCCACCCCCTGACCTGTACGAAGGCCTGGGATGGTCAGGACAGGGCATGTTAGCATACTGAGGCAAGCCCCAAGTGCACACTGTGAACTCATGCCATCATTCTGCTCTCTACCCACATGGTTTCCGACTCCTTACAGGTGACATACCGAACTTACCTTTCCAAGGTGAGAGTCAGGTCTACCCCAAGATCACACAGCCAACGTCCATGCTCTCAGTGCCCCAGGACCGCTGAGCCTGGTCTCCGTTGAACATGGAGAAGTGGGTACCAGTTGCTCTTGCCTTTTCTTAGATCAGTCATGGCTCTGGGTAGTGGAGCAGAGTGAGCATGCGCACAGGTGGGCACCAGGGTTCCTGCGAGACTTTAGGTGTCCAAGTTCTGGCTACACTAGCTGCCCGTCTTCTGAAGAGGGATGTAGGTCTTGCCTCCTGTCTTGTCCCCATTAGCAGGACAGTGTGTGGAGACACCTGCCCTTGGGGTCACTCTGCTTGAGAGGATTCCCTGCATCTGGTAGAGCAGGGACTTGTAGCCTCCAGTGGCCAATTAGGGAGGCACTGGCCTCTGGCAGCTGGGATTCCAATTTCTTGGGCTGAAGAGCTGCAGCGTGCCTGTGGCCCTTCTTTGCCTCTGCTATGGAGTTTGTGACTCCCGGGAAAAGACCACAGACTCAATCCAATTAGAATTAAAAGATTTGTTGATTAGCTGCTGGCAGGATGAACATTCTCTGAGCCAAATTCAAGATTGCTGTGAGAAAGCGGGGATGGTGGGGTCAGGGGGCGGCGGTGAGGGAAGGATTTTTAAAGCAGATAACCTCAAGAAGATGTTCAATATCTATGTAAGGTATCACCCCCAGGGAGGGATGATGTGGCCTCTGTAGACGAATTTCTAAACAGTCTTAGTAAATAAGAAACACAGAGCCAAATACAGGGGTAATAGCCAAAGAGATCAGAGAAATAGCGAAGAGCCACTGACTACCCTTTAGCTTACCACCAAGCTGTAGTTTCCCACACGAGAGAGCTTTTTCCTGCCTAACCTGCACTTTTATTGCTTTCCTGTTCTGCCTTCTCATTGGCTCTCAGGTTAGCCACATGACTTCCTTGTCACTGCCTGTCTATACAGACCTCCAGATCTCTATGGTTGGTACTGGGATTAAAGGCTCATGTCACCACGCTTGGCTGTGGCCTTGACCACACAGAGACTCTACCTGCCATGTGATTGGGATTAAGGGCGTGTGCTACCACCACCTGACTTCTGTTTATGGCTTGCTGACCTCTGATCTCCAGGCAAACTTTATTTATTAATATACAAATAAAATCACATTTCAGCACAATTAAAATATCACCACAGGCCCAATGGCATAGCCCTTGCCCCTATCCATGTCTTAGTTAGGGTTTTTATTGCTGTGAAGAGACACCATGACCACAGAAACTCTTATAAAGAAAACATTTAATTGGGGTGGCTGGCTTACAGTTTCAGGGGTTCAGTCCATTATCATCATAAGGGAGCATGACAGCATGCAGGCAGATGTGGTGCTGGAGCTGAGAGTCCTACATCTTGCAGGCAACAGGAAGTCGACTGAGACACTGGGCAGTGTCCTGAGCATAGGAAACCTCAAAGTCTGCTCCATAGTGACACACTTCCTCCAACAAGGCCATGCCCACTCCAACAAAGCCATAATAATAGTGCCATTTCCTATGAGATTTTGGGGGCCAATTACATTCAAACTACCATAGCGAGCAAGCAAAACTGATCTGTTCTGTGAGGTTAAGTAACCAAAACAATTTTGGATATCTCTGTAACAAGATAGCCAAAAAGAAAAAAAAAAAGCAGTTATTCACACCACAACAAGTAGATGGTCATGGCTGTATACTTTTGAGTGGGGGGGTCACTGAGTCGGGGTCACTGAGTCAGGGTTACTGGGAACTTAACTTCCAGGGACTGGTATCAGAGGCAAATAGCAGTGGGTGCCAAGATGGATGCATGAAGTGGAGTTTCTTTAACCATCACACCTCATTGCTTCTCTCTGGTGGCTTGGCAGGAGCCCAAAGACCTCAGCAAAAATAATTCAGAGGGACCCTGTGCCCCGTGTACCTCATCAGAGCAGTCACCCCGGGGAGGGATGATATGGCCTCATGGCATAGCCCTCGCCTCTGCTGCTCCCCACGGCCATGTTGATGTGAGGGGGATGTGGGCGGAGTCTGGTCTGCAGCATCGTTATCCCAATGCTTCCAAGCCCTTACTTGGCCCCCCTCAGTACTATCAGGAGTCCAGGTAGAGGACATCCGTTTTCTCCCTTCTTTTGTTGTTGTTACCACACGAGTAAAATTCTCCTGTGGGGAGGGAGTTGAAAGTTTACCTCTCCGTGTCCTCTGAGAGTCAGATCTGCACTACCCCATCCTGACCTGGAGTGGAGCTAACGTATTTTTGCTAACAACTCTCGGGGCCAAATTAAGTCTGCATCCTGGAATACAACACAGCTAGACTGAATTTATTCTGTCCAACCTCTGGCCAGGGGGGCTATGATTCCAAACAGCCCTTCCTATAAGGATACATAATTTCCTTTCTATGGGGCCCTACCAGTCCGTTAGGCCACAGTCTTTGAGAAATCCCAAAGTGCGCTCTTGGACCACACAGTTTTAATTCTAGTTCAGTGAATGAAGATTGTATTTAAACAGCCTGCTTAGGCTGGGGCAGCCACCCTGAAGGTCATTCTAGACCAGTGGCTCTCAACCCGTGGGTCATGACCCCTGTGGGGTCAAATGACCCTTTCACAGGGGTCACATATCAGAATCCTGCATATCAGATATTTGCATTATGATTCTTAACAGTAGTGAAATTACAGTTATGAAATAGTAATGAAAATCATTTTATGGTTAGGGGTCACAACATGAGGAACTGTACTAAAGAGTCACAGCATTAGGAAGGTTGAGAACGAAGTGACCAGTGGGTTCTTGTTGTGCCACAGTCCATATTTGCTCACTGTGTTTGCCCCTGAGTTGGGATCTGCTTCCCCTGCTTCCTTAGGAATCTGTGTCACAAGCTCTCCAGGCCTGGGAGCTTGTCCTGGGTGCTTTGCTTTGCTTCTGGTTTGGTCAACTTGACATAAGCGAGATTCATTGGAGAAGAGGAAACTTCAACTGGCAAAATGCTCCCAGCAGATTGACCTGTGGGGCTTTTTCTTGACTGATGAAATGTGGGATGGCTCATCCCACTGAGGGCAGTGTCATCCTTGGGCAGATGGTCCTGGGTGTGTAAGAAAGCAGGTTGAACAAGTGAAGCAAACCAATAACGTGGTGCTCCTCCATGGCCTCTGCTTCAGTTTTTACCCTCAGGTTCCTGCCATGAGTTCCTGCCCAGGCTTCCCTCAGTGGACTGTGACTCAGGATATGTAAGCCAAATAAACCCTCTCCTCCCCAAGTTGCCTTTGGTTATGATCTTTATCACAGCAATAGAAAGCAAACTAAGACACAAGGTTGGTTTTGGTCAGTATTTATCTCAGCACCAGAACACACTAAAACACCAATATTGTAAGTCAATTTATAAGTTGCATTTTATATTCAATCTCCTAACATTTTAATATATTACAATATTTTTTAATTTGACCAAAAATATATAAATTAACGAGTGGCCCAGGTCCTACTCTGACTCCCAGTTCACAGCATCCATCAAGCAAACTTGTGGCGCTACAGAGAAGAGGTAGCAGAGAGAGGAGATGAGTTTTGAGGAAGAATAGAGAGTTGGCTGGTTAAAGAGCAGTTTAGGTGTGGAGGGGAAAGAATGCAGAGCATCTGAAACCAAGTGTGTGGGCGTGAAGCACAAGGAACTCCCAAAATCCCAGCCCTTAGAAGACAGAGGCAGGGGGACTGTGAGTTTGACACCAGCCTGGGCTGCACCCTGAGACCTCACCTCCACAGAAAAAAATAAGAGAGGCATTCTGACAGCTGTGATTACGGTAATTTAAAGTATGCACAAAATCAGAATAACGTAGTGAGCTTTA